CGGACACACCGACATACCGACATACCGACATACCGACAAACACACAAACCGACAAACCGACACACCAAGTTTCTGCTTTATAAATGAGAGAGATAATAAGAGAGATATCGACTTACGTCCACAAGGGTCCTTGTCGAATATCCAGTCACCCAGCAGACATTTGGCCTCGAATTCCGCATAAATCTCGGGGCCAGCCTCACAGAGAACTCTTATCGACTCGTTGTGTCTAAACTGTTAGGCTGTAAACAGTCATTCGGCTTTATAATGATCTGTGTTGTGTCTGGTTTTCTCAGAAGCTCGTTACAGTACCTGTAATGTCGCTTTTGATCGACAGCAATCCAGTGTTTTTGGAAAAGATGACTGTCGAATTCACATAACGTCCCTGAAATCAACTGGTATTTACTTTGTTTCAGATATTTTGTAGGATTTACTCCAACATAACTTACAAATACATGAGATATTTGGGATGAGGTGATGTTGGCCTTCTTGTAGCTCTCCAACGTAGAGTTCCTTGCCAGAACTGCATTCGCAAGTGTAGCCACCGTTCCGATTCAAACAGAACGCATCCGGATCGCACAGATGAAAGTTACGCAGGCATTCATCAATGTCTGTAAAGAGCCAAGTTGGAGGCGAGTGTGGACATACTCGAGGTTCAGTCTTCTTCAAAACTTGCCATACCTTTTGCATTTACGGTTTTCTATTATTCATACTACTTTTCTGATTCATTTTATCTATTATTTTGTTTTTACTATTTTATTTTTATTTTTTATTTTACTATTTTCTATTGTGCTTGCCCATAATGATATGGGAATCTTCAAGAATTGCTAGCACTAGCCTGACGGTACGGTGGAGTCTCAATCCCATTCCATCATGTAATTTTCATTATTTGTTGGTTTATTTGTTTATCCTACTTACCAGTCGGATCGCCCGGCTAACGCCAAGCTCCTCCTTCTTGTGTTGAACAGCCCATCCTGAGAAATGTTGAAATGAAGATTTTTTTTNTTTTTTTTCCTTTTTCAAAGTTCATAGTTATTAAGTTTTTCCGCTGTTTAGCTGAGTTTAAGTTTCTTCCGATGTTCAGCTGAATAAGAGTATGAAACTGAAAAAGAGCTAGAAATCCTTCTTTGACACAACAGATCGAAAGCTTCCCTAATTCTTTGATAAAGTTATAGTAAGCCTAACTCTAGACTCCTTTTTTGAAACAAGTAACAGTTTCCTGTACACGAAATTTATCACAGGACTGACAGGGCAGTGCAAATGGTATCAAGTTGATGTCGGTGCTTACGCCTTTGATTGGGAGTCTCGAACAATCGCTTTCTTCCTTAGGAATAAATACCCATCGAAAATGAAAATCAAAGATGATGCTGTGGAGATGTTCTGAGTGAAGATAATGAAGATAACACCGTTATCAGATGTCCTTTATCAACGGACCGTTTTCTTTACAAAGATATCGTTAGTTGAGCAATCCAAATTATTGGTGGTCGGTGAAGTTTTGTCGCAAATGATATCGACCAAAGAGGACCATTCATTGAATCAGAAACCCTGCTGGGTAGCGGTCATAATCTAATTGTAAGAAATGAACAAAGTCTAATCTGCTTATCGCAGTGTAGCTGATGGGTCCCTATCACTGCACTTACCAATCACTTTGGTCACCCTGCTCTATCATCCCGTCTTATCGAAAGAAACATACTGAACGGTCCAAGCTACATCGTAGATACCGAAGACGTTAGGATTCTCATTGGTAGGCGGCCTCTCTTGGTCCCTTTACTTATCATTCGTGATCAGTTCTTGTCACCGAGTAGCTACGATCCCGTCATATCCTCCATCACTTACTGAAATGCTGAGGTTCCACTGTCAGTACGAAAAGTGTACTCCTACCAACTTTGAACGCTTTGGGTGCACGGAGACAGGATTTATGAACTTGCGGTTCAAAATTTCTACCGCGCACGCCCCGCCCCCTGTACATGGAATCCGGTCCCACCACCCATCATAAGTGTCCCCATCCTGCCCCCCGTACTCCTACCAATTTTGAACGCTCTAGGTCCACGGGGACAGGAGTTATGAATTTCCGGTCAGACACAAACACACCGACACACCAACAGACACACTTAGCGAATTATATGTAGTAGGATATAATCGGCTAAGTGTGTCTGTTGGTGTGTTTGTGTGTGTGTTTGTGTGTGTTTTTGTCTGACCGGAAGTTCATAACTCCTGTCCCACTGAACCTAGAACATGGAAATTTGCAGGGAATACAGACGACAGGATGGGAACACTGATGGTAGGGGGTAGGAGGTGACAACAATTGATAAGAACTGATAAGGAGCCTTAAAAGGCAGAAGCAACAGGACCCATATCTTCCTTTGTATTAACGATGAAGTCTTGGCACTTTGGTAGGTTATGTAGAATGTGAAGGGACGGTAAATGATTAGTGACAGGGAATGGTAGCAAGTGATAGGGACTGATAAGAAACCATAGAAGGCGAGAGCCACTAGACTGTAACGCACTTTCGGTTAATAATGGAATCTTGGCATTTCAGTAGGTTATGTGAGATGTGACAGGATCGTACGTACTCGGTGACGGAATCGAGAACGGTTGGTACCAGGCCAGGAGCTGATAAAACTGACAAGGGCTAATGAAAATCCTGGAAAGCGTATAGCCACTATAATAATGGCATTAATAGTGGAGCCTTGACAGTATGGCATATGATGTGGAGTATAGCGGGATCGTAGACGACCGATGATAGGAACTGATAACAGCTGATAAGGACTGATAAGAGCACTAACCAACTGAAATTAATCCTATGGTATTAACGATGTATTTATGATTACGACTATAATATAGATTACGACCGCTACCCAAAAGGTTTGTATCGGCGAAGATCAAGGTTACTTTATGTTTTGATATCATTTACGTCAAAGCTCATCCGACCGCCAATAGTTTGGGATTCTCAACTAATGATGTACTCGTGGAGGAAAGAAAGTCCAGTGATAACGACATCTGATAATGGTGTTACTATCGCCTGAGAACATTTGTGGGTACTACTCAATTCTTTGTTGCCTATCAGTTAAACCTTTGATTGTTCATAATTTGGGCGTAAGCATGGCACACCTTAAATACTACTGGCGCTGCCCTGCTTATGCCAGCTCCCCTCTTTTTGAGGTCCTGTGTCAAAGTTGTGCAGAGGGTGTAGGATTTCGTATTCAGAAAAGCATCACTCGTTTCAAAAACGGGGAGGAGGGAGGCGGTTGCCTATTACTAGCACTCAAAGAAGGAGGAAAGCTCGGCATTAGCCGGGCAACTGTCTTTATATGTAAAGCGGTAACTTGGTGTTCCTAATTGTATGCCCGTTTGTGCGTCCTTCCGAAAGTCACGTAGGCACTATGAAGAGTGTGAATGTCACGTGAGCGCGGTGAGGAAACAGTTATGAAA